GCTCCGTCCCTGTCGGAAAGTAGGAGTTGTTGGAAGGATATTTGGTCCTGTGGGGTGCCGCCCACTGTAAGGAATTTTGCTTGGCGGTTAGCAACGGACTCTCTTCCAACCTGGAGGAACAAACATAAAATTGGATTGGAGGTTTCAAGTCTTTGCCATGTGTGTGCTTTAGAGCCGGAGGACAATTTTCATCCGATGCTTAATTGCCCGCTAGCTCGTTAGCTGTACACCGCTATGTCCAAGGTTTGGAGATTACCAGCTCGAGAATATTTTGTGAATACGGGGAAGGAGTGGTTATTTGCCATTGCACAGTTGGATGATATCTCCCGTTGCATGGTTCTGATGGTCTTCTGGAGATGTTGGTTTATTCGGAACGAAGTTACACATGACAAGTCGGCACCGCCGGTGGATGTTTATGTTAGATTCCTTCGGAGCTATATGGACTCTCTATTTGGTATTAAACTAAACTCCTCGATGGATCATGCCAAGGGGAAGTCGTCCACAACATATATGGCTTTGATCTCACATGTAGCGAAATTATCACCGCAATTACCATGGGGGTGCAGCCGAAGCCGGGTTGGGTAAAGCTGAATTTAGATGGTTCATGGGGCCAAGATGGTGATGCAGGAGCGGGCATGATTCTGCGCAATGAGCAGGGGAGGTTATCTTTTCTGCTTGCAGGCACCTTCATATCTGTCGTGATGCGCTTGAGGCAGAATTGTGCGCGTGTATGGAGGGTTTATCCCTCGCCCTTCAAAGAAGCGACTCCCCTATTGAAATTGAAATGGACTCAAGCATGGCGGTGGCTATGATTCAGGACCCAGGAGTTGATCGATCTGTCTACTCCTCTATTATCAAGGAAATTAAGTACCTGAGAAGTTTGAGAGTGACCAGTATTTCACATGTCTTTCGTAGCCAAAATAAAGCTAGCGATGGTTTAGCGGGTTTTGCCAGACTAGAAGGTAGAACAGTTACGTGGTTAGGATCTGGGCCAGCTAAGGTCCGTGATCTGGTGCTTGATAATTGTAAGAACTTATTGATTGAGTAATATAAGTCTTATGCCCGCAAAAGAAACAACTGAAGCCTCTCGCTGGAAAGAGAAAAAAAAAACTACATTGAAAGATCCCTACTGGGTTGGGCCACTGCAGGCTGCCTTTGAGGTCACCTATCCTCCCGTGTTGCTAGAAGCGAGACATAGTTGCGCCAATCGACTACTGTGTATATACTGTTCTGCAGGTTTTTCCTTCTTTTTTTATTTTTTTATATTTCTTAAATGTTTTACAATATATATATATATATATATATATATATATATATATATAATTAACTTAGTTTGAAAAATGTACATGAGCATTAAAAACTTTAGGAAAATGAGAAAATAAATAGTTAGTGCAATTTTAAGAAAATTGTCCACACCATTAAGAAAAAGGTTCATAACTTTAAAAAATGTTCATACATATAAAAAAATTGTTCATGACATTTTAAAAAAAGCACGCATCATATAAAACTTTGTTCGGCCTATTTTTCAGAAAATTTGGTACCATTCAAAAATATGTGCATGCCATTTTAAAATATTCAAAATGTTCATTACATATAAAAAACTGTTCGAACCTTTTGACAAATATGGTTGTAACACATAAAAATACTCGCATGTTAAAACCATGTTCATGAAAAAATGTAAAAATGTTCAAACCTTTATTTAAAAACTGCTCAACATGTAATTGAAAAATGTACAACACGTATATGGAAAGTGGTTTGCTTGATTTAATTTTTTTAACATGTATTTGAAAAAGGATCAACATATTTTAAAAATGTTTCATCCGTTAAAAGAATTATCATGAAATATAAAAAATTGTTTGTGCAATCTTGAGAAATGTGCATGACATATTTAAAACTGTTCCTACACTAAAACTGGAAGAAATACACATGTTATTAATTTTGAAAAAGGGAAATGTAAAAAAATAAGAATGAAGGAAAAACTTTTTTTATTTTTTTATTTAGAAAAACCAAGCAGAAAATAGAAAACTCAAAAGAAAGTAGGAAAAGGG